TCTTTTTGGCGGTCAAGACTACAGATTCGGCGGAGGATTACGCCAAGCTTTACATTAATGAGATTGTGAGGTTGCATGGAGTTCCTTTGTCTATCATCTCAGATAGAGGTCCTCAGTTTACATCTCATTTTGGAAGTCATTTCAGAAAGGTCTTGGTACTCAGGTTAATCTTAGCACAACATTTCATCCGCAGACGGATGGTCAGGCAGAGCGTACCATTCAGACCTTAGAGGACATGTTGAGAGCTTGTGTGATCGACTTCAAGGGTAGTTGGGATGATCACCTTCCTCTTTTGAGTTCGCCTACAACAATAGTTACCATTCCAGCATTCAGATGGCCCCTTATGAGGCATTATATGGGCGTAGATGTAGATCTCCAGTTGGTTGGTTTGAAGTAGGTGAAGCAGCCTTGATAGGACCAGATTCGGTCCTTGATGCTATGGAGAAAGTGCAACTCATTAGAGATAGACTTAAGACTGCCCAGAGTCGCCAGAAGTCTTATGCAGATGTGAGAAGAAGGGAACAAGAGTTCCAAGTTGATGATTGGGTTTTCTTGAAAGTGTCACCTATGAAAGGGGTGATGAGATTTGGCAAGAAAGGGAAGCTCAATCCCAGATATGTAGGCCCTTACCGGATCCTGAAAAGGATTGGTAAAGTGGCTTATGAGTTAGAGTTGCCAGCAGACTTAGCAGCAGTGCATCCAGTCTTTCACATCTCTCTTCTGAAGAAGTGTGTGGGTGATCCAGCATCCATAGTGCCATTAGAGAGTGTGGCCGTGAAAGATAGCCTTTCTTATGAGGATGTACCAGTTGAGATTCTCGATCGTTAGGTTAGAAGGTTGAGGAATAAAGAAGTCGCTTCAGTCAAGGTTTTGTGGAGGAGTCAGTCAGTAGAGGGAGCTACTTGGGAAGCAGAAGCAGCCATGAAGTCCAAGTATCCTCACCTCTTTCCTTCCGATTCCATTCCAACTTGAGGTAATAGTTCCTCTTCAGTTTTCCAGTCATTCATGCGAAAATTCAGTCTTAGAATCATGTTTCTTCAGTTTGTACTTGCATTTTCAGCGTATTTGCATGTCCTTGGAACTCAGTTCAGTCAGAAATTCAGTTCTCAGTGTTCAGTGGTAGGGATTGCAGCCCTCTCCCTCCATTTCAGCTAGTTTAGTCTTCATTCGAGGACGAATGGTCCCAAGGGGGAGATAATGTAACACCCCGTATTCAAAATAAACAAAAATGCATATTTTGAGAAGTTGCAGGTGCAACTTACGGTCACCATCCACGGACCATAGGTCAGACCACGGCCCGTGCTGGTGGTCCGTGGTTCGCCACTGCAACCCCTCCCCAGTCAGCTCAGAAAATTGGTTAAGTCTCGACTCACGGACAGACCCACGGTCTGTAGATCAGACCACGGTCCGTGGTTTGTGTCCGTGGATCAAGACCTCCTTACCCAGCCTCTGACATGAACTACGGTTGACCAGCACGGACCGTCGTTCGATCCACGGTCCGTAGGTCTGACCGTAGATCAAAGGATAGCAGTCAGTTAGCTGAAAATTCTGATGGGTCAACTTTAGATGGTCATATCTTTTAGCACAAAATGAATTATGTGTCCCATGACCTATGGTTAGATAGATAATTGAATTATCTTTCCAACGCCACAGAGTTTGCTAAATTCTGACCTCCGAGTAAAAAGTTATGCCCGTTTTAGTGAAGCCCTGTCGGGCAGACTCCATCTACGGACCCAATCGACGGACCGTCGATTGATTGACGGACCGTCAGTCCATTCCGTCGATCACTCCGACAACAGTTAATTCAGGGGTCTTTTGGTCTTTTCCTATTTCGTTTAACCCCTAAGTTACGTCGTTTAGACCCTAAATCATGAGATTTTAATCAGTTTAAACCTAGAAACATAACTAGAACTTACCTAAGTCAATTCATTAATCAAAACTTAGAAAATTAGAAGCAAGAAGGGAGAAAAAGGTCAAGAACCCTAGTTCAAGAACGCAACAAGTTTCCTTCAGTTCCAGCCTCGAAATCGAAAGATTTCTCCGTGGAATTCGTCACCAGGTATGTGGGATTTCACTAGTGGGCTCCTTTCGCCCATTAGGTTCCTAGAATTCAGTCAGATTCTTGATTCCATGATTATGAACAGACCTAGGGTTTCTAGAATTTCAACAGACCATCATGAATTAGTTATTTAAATGTTCCAAATCAGATTATCATGTTATTGCTCAGTTTATCGCATGAATTTCAGAACCCTAGCTATGTATTTCTTTAGTTCTTGAATTACACATGCTAGGTCAGATATTTCAGTATTCAGTTTTACATGCCTCAGTTTATGAATGCATCATTATCAGATTAATTGTTGCATTCTCAGTTTGCATGTTCAGTTCGAGCTATCCAGTATTTACAGAAATTCAGTCATAACTAGTTAACCACTTAATTCATTGGGAGTAGCATAATACCGAGTTGGACTAGGGTTTCAGCGTACCCATATAGTCCCAGAACTACGAGCCACGTAGGTGTAAGTCCCCTCTGTGGGCAACATCAGTTTAGTGATCACGCCAGCATGCCTTTATACCTCTGGCAGGGTATATTGGGTCCTCTCGATGGGGCGTATACATCGGACTCCACATTTAGCTCATGTGGTTTTATGTCGGTTATTAGTAGCTCCCATAGTTCAGTCAGATTCTATTGCATTGACCACATTTACAGTTCATTCAGTATTCAGAAAGCATGTTATAAATTGGTCATTGCATTCAGTTAGCTCAGTATTCAGTATTTATATCATGTTCAGATTATTTCATTGCTTTATTGTTTTGTTCAGTTATATGTTCTTTCAGCTTTACTCTATCCTACATGCTCAGTACCTTTCAAGTACTGACGCATACGTGCGCTACATCTTCTCGTGATGTAGGTTCAGGTTCTCAGCATCCAGATCACGCTTAGATCGATTCCTGATCTTCAGTTCAGCAGAATCAGTTGGTGAGTCCTCATTCTTCGGGGACAATAGTCATGAGTTTCTTTTCAGTGTTTTATTCTTTAGTTTCAGTTTTGCTAGACCTAGTTGGGGCATGTCCCAACATTTCTAGTCAGTTTAGAGGCTTATTTCAGACATAGTTAGATTCAGCTTAGTATCTTGAGTTTGATATTTCTTTTGTATTAAACTCTCAGATTTGATATATTCAGTTATAGCATATGGATATTCCTCATCTCTTCAGATTTAATTATGAATTAGCTTCCGCATCAGTTTATTTTCTTTAGTATGCTCATGATCATGCCAGCAGGGTTAGCTTGGGATCACTTGTGGTCCTAGGTCCCGTGTCCGCGTCTTGGGGGTAGCTCGGGGCGTGACAGTAGTTGGTTATGTTACATTTTTCAAGTCTATCACTAATCCACTAAAAGGGATGCTTTCAAATGGAATGATGAGGCTGATTTGGCATTTACAGCTCTCAAATCTATTATGTCCTCAACACCGGTATTAGTCATAGTGGCATTTGGGTTGTCCTTATGCAAGAAAGAACACTGATAACTTATTTCAGTAAAGTACTAGCACCTAAGTATAGGGGAAAATCTATCTTTGAAAAGGAATACATGGCCTTGCTAAATGTTGTGGGTAAGCGGAGGCACTAACTTAAGTTCAAGCATGTTGTGGTTCGAACTATCATAGCTTGAAATATTTGATAGAACAAAAGGTTACTTTAGAATTACAGCAGAAAGCGCTCACTAAGTTACTAGGCCTTGATTATGAGGTTCAATATAAGAAAGAAGTTGAGAACAAAGTAGCAGATGCACTATCAAGAAAGGAAGAATAAGGTAAGAGATTTAATTAATTTATATTGGGCGAAGAATATATGTGTATACATATCATGGTATTTTATCTCTTATACGTATCATTTCATGAAATTAGTTTATCAACAAAGTTTATTTTATTCTACTAATGAAGGGTAAGAATATTGTCAGACGTCAAAAAAATTCCATGACAAAGATAAAAAAAACGAATCCACTCGTTATGCCTCCTTTTCAAAACGCCGATTAAGTTTATATAAATTGGTTGGTGAATTCGTTAAACAACACGATGTTGACATAGAAATAGTTTCTTCTCCAACGAATAAGCCTTATCCATTTTTCCATCCAACTGTTGAAGTGGTTGCTCAACGTTTTTTGAATTCAAATATAGAATTAAGTGACACTACACAACTTGTTGTGACACATATTTGAAACAAGGTGAATGAAATCAAATATAAATATGTAGAGTTTAAAATTAGAGAAGATGTTGCAAGCAAGCAAATAGTTATACTTGACCAAGTGAAAGAGATGAGAAAAATTGGTTGGTAGGAGGATACTGAAAAACTCAAAACTGATAAGTTGATTAAATTTGAAGCTTGATTAAATATTACTAATTGTAACATGAAATATCTTCGGGAACAATTGAAAAAATGAATTTGCATCTAATGCTTCATAAATAGAATTTATCTCTACATTAATTTTTGAAATTTTATTATCGGTTCAACCTTTTTTTTTAAATTTTAAATTTTATATTGAAGATACAACTACATGTACTCCACAATAATACTTATTATGAAATAATATTACTTCCATTAATAACAATATATATTTTTCTCTTACATTTTTGACCATATATTCTTGAAAAGTCTAATGTTTAATTTAAATTTTATATTTATATATTTTAAGTATACATGTAAAAAAAAAAGTATTTGTGAGTGACGGTAAGAATTAAACCTATAACATTTCTTATTTTTATATCACAAAAAAATGCAAAAAACTCAATAAATTAAGAAAGTACTTATAAAACTAACATAAGAAAATAAGATATCAAACATATATGAGAAAAAATATATTAATATTAATGGAAGTAATATTTCATAATAAATATCATTGTAGAGTACATGTAATAACTAGCATATCAATATAAAATTATAAATAAAAAATAAAAAACAAAAGCAGGACGGATAATAAAATTTCAAAAATTAATGTAGAAATGAATCTATGAAGTATTAGATGCAACTTCATTTTCCAATTGTTTCAGACGATATTTCATGTTAAAATAAGCAACGTTTAGCCAAGCTTCAAATTGAGTTAACTCATCAGTTTTGAGTTTTTCAATATCCTCCCAGCAACCAATTTCTCTCATCTCTTTTGCTTGGTCAAGTATAATTGTTTCCTTGCTTGCAACATCTTCTCTAATTTTAAACTCTGCTAGTTTATCTTCGATTTCATTCACGTTGTTTCGAACACATGTTGCAACAAATTTTGTAGTGTCACTTAATTCTATGTTTCGATTCAAAAAACGTTGAGCAACTGCTTCAACAGTTGGATGGAAAAATGAATAAGATTTATTCGTTGGAGAAGAAAGAACTATACCTATGTCAACATCGTGTTGTTGAACGAGTTCACCAGCCAATTTGTATAAACTCAATCAACGTTTTGAAAACGTGGCATATCGAGCGGCTTTGTTTTCTATTTTTTTCATGGAAATTTTTTGACGTCCGATAGTCTTCTTACCCTCCATTACTAGAATAAAATAAGCTTTGTTGATGAACTAATTTCAAGAAAGGGTACTTATAAAAGATGGATTACCATGATATTTATAAACATACATTCTTCCCCCAATAGAAATAAATTAATTTTCTTACCATACTATATATGGAAAGTATCCTGAATAAAAATATATATAACTATAAAAATAAATTTATCAAATACTTAAAAATGATATGCACTCTAGGTGTGTTCATGGTTTGGATAAAAACCGATCCAAACTGAAAAACTAAACCAAACCAATTTAATTTGGGTTTTGGTTTGGTTTGGTTTTAGGTTGTTAAGAACTGACAGTATTTGGTTTGGTTATGGTTTTGTTCGAAAAAAATAGAAGAAATAACCGAACCGAACCAACAAGTTATATACATAAATTTTATTATTATACATAATATATTATATTCATAAACAATTTTAAAGATTTTATATATGTTTCATCAAAATTTAGTTTTATAATTTACTTTTGAAAGAAAAAATGTCCAAGGTGAGAACATTTTTCTTATTGGTTTCATGTATATGAGTGTCTATGAAAATTCTTTGTGGGACTAAAAATGTCATTGTCTCTTCCTTCTATGCCAAAATAGTGAAATTTGAAGTTTTATTCAGTAAATTCAATGATAGAAAGTTTTGTAATGCCAGTCATTCTAACTATTTTTTTGTTTGAATGGATTGTTGTCACTTTTTTCACGTTTTGAATGAATTGTTTATTTTATTTTTATGTATGGTTAATAACCGAATAACAGAACCAAACCAAAACTAAAAACAACCAAACCGATAAATGTATATTATATTTGGTTTGATTTGGTTTTGATAATTTTAAAACCGATTAAGTTGGTTTGGTTTTGGTTTTGACCAATAACCGACCCAAACCAAACCGTGAACACCCCTAATGCACTCAATAAAATTAGTGGAATTTAAAAATTCGAGTTAAAAGAGGAAATATTTTAATATACTTACTTAATTATCAAATATAAATATAATTTGAAGAAACATTAATAACATATATAAAAAAAATCTTACCTTATTATATTTGAAAAGTAGCATGAATAAAATATAAATATAAAAAGAAATTTATGAAATACTTAAAAATGAAATGCATCTCAATAAAATTGGTGAAATTTGAAATTTTGAGATAAAAAGGGAAATATTTTAATATACTTACTTCATTATCAAATCTAAATATAGTTTGAAGAAACATTAGTTACATACAAAAAAATTTAAAAAATAAATTTCCAGCCTTATTATATATGGAAAGTAGCATGAATAAAAATATAACTACAAAAATAAATTTATCAAATACTTAAAAATGATATGCATACAATAAAATTAGTGAAATTTGAAATTTCAAGTTAAAAAAGGACATATTTTAATATACTTACTTAATTTACTATATCTTATTTATCAAATATAAATATAATTTGAAGAAACATTAGTTACATAAAAAAAACAAATTATTTAGGAGATGTAAGACACAAGTACTCTCCAGAACTATATTAAAATCCCAACAACATATCTAAATTTAAGTAGGATCCTATTACCTCCACGCTCACCCCTCCAAACTAATTTATTCTATGTTTTCATGCTCCTGCCAAGACCCAGTTCAAGTATCAGAAGTGATATACATGTGTTGTCGCGTGTATAAATATTTTATTTATCTTCAATTTATTTTTATTTTAAAAAAAAACAATTTCTTGTTTTCTTTGTTTTGTGTCTAAATTAAATTAGTACATATGATTTTTATTTTTTTTTTAAATTGCCTTATATTTAAACTTCTTCTTCTTTTCAAATAGCTTCAGATTTTAACCACAACTTCGAAAGCCCCCCCCCCCCCCCCCCCCCCCCCAAACAAACCACAATCATCAATTTATTTTTAAAAAACTCAATAAATCACAAAATCCATCGTAAACTTACACCACCTTGATTTTTGCTCTTGCTTAGTAGAATGTGAAAGAACGTTAGGAAATAAACATTAGCACACAAACTAGGGGAAATATTTGAATGATAAGAATACTAGCCATTAGAGCTCACATGCCATCCATCTTACAACTAGCATTGAACATGATTCATACAAAGAGATGGCATTGACTATTGACTACTCAACTTGTTGGCTATGTTGGGTAAATATTTTCCCCCATGTACCATGCAACTTTTTTTAAAAATCGTGTCAACTTAAATCTAAAGCAGATAATATCACTAGTCGATTGGAATATCACATTCATACCAATTATCCTTCGAGTTTTTTCTTCGTTCTTAGTTACTCTCACCATTTCTTAGGAATAATTGGAGAAGATGCAATTAGGAGTGGGGAAAGATCAAGAGTTTGAGAAACAAGAAAGAGTGGAAGTAAGAATTTCAAGCTCTCGCTATGTATTGTAATTTTCATGAGCTCTCGCTATTTCGGATAAATAAAGAACATATGTTTGCTCTTTCAAGTAACTTTCCCTTTTGTCATATCAACTTTAGGCCCAAGAAAAGAATTGGTTAGAGCCTATTCTATGAAGAATATTTCTCCAAGAAGCATGTTGAAGATTGACCTCCAAAAAGCCTATGACTCAGTGGAATGGAATTATTTAGAGCAAGTGATGTATGGTCTGGGATTTCCTGCTATGTTTACACATTGGGTAATGAATTATGTGAGAACAATAAACTATTCTATAGTAATGAATGGACAGGATACTCAGAATTTTGCAGCAGCTAAAGGCCTCTGAGAAGGAGACCTAATGTCTCCTTTCCTTTTTGCTATAGCTATGGAATATCTCAGTAGATTACTCAAGGAAGAGACAACTTTCAAGTTTCACCTAAAATGCTCTAAACTGGACATCACTCACTTATGTTTTGCAGATAACTTGCTAATATTTTCTAGAGAAGATCTCAATTCCATCAAGGCCCTCCAAAGATGTTTTTCACAGTTCTCACAAGCTTCAGGATGCAAGCAAATATCAACAAAAGCTCCATTTATTGTGGGGGAGTCCAGTTAGAGGTGAGGCAACAAATCATACAACAACTTGGCTACAAAATGGAAAAGCTACCATTCAAGTACCTTGGGGTGCCTCTTTCTACTAAGAAATTGACAGTAATCTAATGGCACCCTCTCATTGACAAAATCATGGCCCGGATCAAATTGTGGACAACTAGGAAATTGTCATATGCAGGTAGAATACAACTGGTATAGACTGTGTTGTTTGGAGTTCAATCTTACTGGGCACAACTTTTCATTATTCCTGCAAAGATAATCAAACTGATTGAAGGGCTATGTAGAAGCTATTTATGGTCAGGGGTTGGATATGTTACTAAAAAGGCACTAGTTGCTTGGGAGAGAGTGTGTTGTCCTAAGTCTGTTGGAGGCATGGGGCTGATTAATGTGCAAGCGTGGAACAAAGCAGCAATTGCCAAATTATGTTGGGACCTAGCAAATAAAGAGGACAAACTTTGGATCAAATGGATACACACATACTACATAAAGGGGAAGAGCACTTGGCCAGAGACCAAACAAGCCAGCTGGCTGATAAGAAAAGTTATAAGTGCCAAACATATAATTGATCAAATCCAACTGATGAGGGGCAAGAAAGGGAGCATGATCAGGCAAATTTATATGTACATGATTGGGGAGTAACAAAGGCCTGATTGGAAATGTCTCATGTTCAAGAATGCAGCAAGGCCAAAAGCTTATTTCACTATGTGACTCATATTTAACAAGAAGTTAGCAACAACTGGCAGGCAAGCTAAATGGGATGTGGAAATAGATAAGACTTGTGTCTTATCCAAGAATGCAGAAGAGACTATAGAGCATCCATTCATACAATGTCAATTTGCTAGAAAGCTATGGGAAAGATTGTTTACATGGATTCATCATCATAGTATAGTACCAAAGACACGGGGACAGTTTCTACAATGGAGCATTCAGCATGGGAAGGGGAAGTCTAAAGCAACCCAAATATTCAAGATTATTTTGGCTGAAGGTGTCTATTTTTCAAATTTCAGAATTTTTCTCTCTTGTTTTTTAATTGCATTTAATAAATTCATTAATATAATAGGAGATTTGTTTGTTTATGTGGGACTCCTCCAATTCTGAAAATTTCATGGATAAATGACAATCCTGGACGTAGATTTCTCGGTTGTAGACACTATGGGTATGCATTGTTTCATATTTTTTTTCTTTAATTTTCAAATTTCTTATCATGTAATTTTTTTTAACTTTGATTTTATGAAATGCAGTCTTTATTTCGAAATCCTTGTAATTTTTTCGATTGGTATGATCCAGAATTTCCTAGCCAGGCGAATGCTGTGATTTTGGGTCTGTTGAAGAAGACCAACAAATAACAAAAACAGTTGAAGTGTAGATGGATGTTAAAACTGATTTTGGGCATTAGTTGATATGTAATGCGATATTGTTCTTTTATTTAGTGTGTCATTGAAAGTTTTTTAGTGAATGTAACTGTTTTTAACGCAAGGACTTTTGGTTCTAGCGTTCTCATTTTGTGCATTAGTTTGATTTGGTGTTTTAGTGATGTATGTGTCTGCTGATTAAAGCTATATATATATATATATATATATATATATATATCTTGGTGTATGTTCAATTGACTTGTCTTTTTTTCATAAAATTACAATTACATGGAATAGGTAATATGATAACAAAACACGTAATAATAACATAAGGGCATAACATAACTAGTGGTTTCTTGATCATTAAACACAAACATCATAGTGTTTCATTGTTTCAACCAACAACCACCACAATAACTTAAGTGAACCACCAAAACACAAAACAGTCACTACTTTAAGTTTGGTTGAACAACATACAAGTACCAAAACACAAAACAGTCACTAATTTAAGTTTGGTTGTTACAACCACACAACCACTAAAGCACCAACACACATTAACTAAGAAGTTTTCTTTGAGGGAGATTTTCCCTAGGTTTGTGCCCTTATTTGAATCCAACAGCTTTTGATCTGGTTTGAATACGACGCATAACACTTTGGACTTGAAGTTCTCTTTGAGTCATGGCATGTTTGCCTTTCCACTTCAGTCCCTTTGTAGGTTTAAAACCAATATTACATGTCACAGTCCCTTGAAGAGTTTCCATGAAAATTGCATTCGAACTCGAATCCCAAATGTAAATGCAGATTTGTGAAGTTTGTTTCAAAATTGATTCATAATAAAGGGTAATACCTTTCAGATTCAGGGGTTGATGTAGTGGTATTAGCTCTTAGAGCTCAACCTGCACAAAACTTGGAAACGTTAGGTAAAATCCTCACAAAGGAGCTAATCAAAGTTGAACAGGATCTTGGTCTTACATTTGAGTTGGTGTTAGTCGGAGCAGGTTGAAGCTGAAGAAGTCATCATTGGTGTCGAATTCATGACGTTTGTGAGAGGTTAAACGTCCAAGTGGATATAACACAACCTTCATGCCCTTTCTCCGATTTCTCTGGCCATTGACAAGGCCATCGAAGCTCTAAAAGATGTTGAAGAAGAAAAAACTCTTTCTTTTCAGAGCATTCTGTCCATGTCCTTTTTAGTTTTATTTTCTGTCTTTTTCTTCTTCTTTTTTTAATTTCCTTCTCTGTTTGTTTCGTTTCTTTGGACCTGGGTCACTTTTGGGCCCAGGGTTTGTTTCTATGCACTTTGATTTAGTTTATATATGGGCATTGCCCAACCTTTAAATAATTTTTTTTTTTTTTTAAAAAAAAACTCTGCACACCAATATTAACCCTCTTACTGCTAGCCAATCCTTGTTGAAATATTAACAACTTAGTTATTTTGGTACTCACATTTAAAAATATAATTTTTGATAATTTTATAAGACACTTATATTAATACATGTATATCCAGTATCAACAACATATACACCTTATCCCAGAACTCTTGGCCTCTTCTTGTAACCACTTCATGCACCTCTTCTTGTACAAGTATTGTTGTTGCTTGCTCTTTCATATTGACATATATCCCTCTTTTTCTCGGTGGAGGACTATTATGGTAGAAAAAGAATAAAACAAGAGACTAAATTAATAAGTAACCTAATCTGATTTATAAAAGTAAATTAATGTGAATGTACCTCTTGAGTGGGTGTTGGTGTAGACTTAGGTTTATAATTTTTTGGACAATTTCTCTTGTTGTGATTTGCTCCTCTGTAAATTGAACATGTCATTACTGTCTCCATTCTTGGCAACTTCCCAGCATTTCTCACTTCACCAATTTCTCTTCTTCTATTCTTTGGTGGCATACCAGACATTTTTCTTACCTCAGGTGGTTCAACTATTGGGTTTCTACGTTTAGGCCACATTTTCATGTTTGGGACTGGTTGAATGAAATGAGAATATGTCTTCAGATATGTCTCTTTTCTATACCAGCTTGAAATTGCTTGTGATGCATCCATGTTCAAGTGGTTCGTTGCTGCTATACCATATGCACATGAAATACCTTTTAATTTTCAAGATCTGCAACTACATTTTTGTTGATCCAAGTTCACAGTATGCTTGTATGCCCCTTCTAACACTTTAAATCCATCATCACCATTTCATTCATTGTTGCACTGCATTGATCTTGTTACATTGGTATTGAATATCATCATTGTCATTGGAGATATTTCATCTGTCCATGTATCAGCAAATGCTCTTGACTTACTCACCCTACTCGTCACCTTAATTCTAATTTCTTCCAACATAGAAACAATAGTCTTGTTCCTAGGTCCCAAGATTCAAGCATTGAAACTCTCTACCATGTTGTTATCTATACTATCACATTTTGAAAAAGTTTGAAAAAAAGTTTTGCACCATTTCTCCTTGTTGTATTTGATAAGGTCTTCAACTATACCTTTTCCCAGCTTGGCTAGAGCATTTATATTATACTTAAAATGTGCCTAAAAAATGGCTCTCGCACAAGCCTAAAATTTCTTCCTTCTCTCTATGCCTCTCCTATTTTGTGATCAATTTGCTAATATATGTCTAACACACATTATGTGCTCACATTCTGGAAATACTTCATCTGCAGCTATTAGTCCCTGTAGTTGCAAAATAAAATAATAAATATAGTTAAAAAATTTCTCAAATTAAATTTATGACAAACCAAAAAAACAAATTTAGTTACCTTTTGCATATCACTAATGATAGTGATCTGGGAACCATCTCCTAGATTAAGATCATCTGCAGAATGGTCATGAACCATTTCCATGTGGCCTTACTTTTAGTATCAATTATTGCCCATGCTATTGGATACATTTGGTTGCTTGCATCTTTAGCAACAGCTACCAAAAGTTGACCTTTACAATTTCCTTTTACAAAACACCCATCCATCCCTATACATCTTTTGCATCCTTGTCGGAAATCATTTTTCATAGCATCAAAACATATATAAAAAGAGTGAAATTGTTTCATCCCATCTTCTGAATCTGTAAGTTTCACAACACAAGTGCTACCAGGATTTGTTTGGAGTAACACATCCTTGTAGTCTAGGATTCTATTAAATTCTGCCACATGATCCCCCGTAATTTTCTTTAAATAATTTTTGTTGTTTTTATACTTACATAAAAACTTTGAAATATATAAAAACTATTGCTAGTCCTGGTACATTTGTGCCTTGGGTTGTAGGTCTTGATAGTGAAGTTTTCACTCCTCCCATGCTTGCTTTCATACAACAGTCATTGGACAACCATTTTACACTTGACTTTTACTCTAGTACTCTCATTCATATACGTGTCTAACTCAACACTTTTTATAGCATATTTTCTAACTGCCTCACTAAATTCCTTTACACTTTCAAATACCAAACCACACTGCCATATTACAACATCACAAGTAGAATCATATATCACTCTATTACTCTTCTTTTTTCCCCTTAAACTCAATCCTTCAAGTTCATCATCAGAAACATGTTGTTCTTCATCACTTTGAAAACTATCACAATCAGAACTGTCATAGTATGGCTCATCCTCTGTTAGCTTACCCTTGAATTTCTTTTTTTTTGCCTTTTTCAATATCTTCATACTCTTCATAAAGTCTAACTTCACCTAAAAAAACTTTTGTTTTTTCCTTCTTCTTTCTCCTGCTACTTTCTCTACACTTTCTCACATCTTCCTTCACAATCATCAACTTCTTATGCACATCACTTCCATAGTCAATAGATTGGTCAGAACAAATAGAATCATTATCTATATCTTCCTCTGCATTTTCTTGGGCACTTGGTTCAACTTCTTCTTGAATAGAAGGTTTAGTTTCTTGTTGGACAGAAGGTTCAACTTCTTCTTTCGTAGCAGTCCAATCTATTAAAGAATAATCGTTTCTTATTGAACACCTACAATTAGGGCTGGGCATTCGGTATTTCGATTCGATTTTGGTTTTTATTTTATTTTGATTCTTGTACAATGTGTACCGAACACCGAACTAAAATAATTTGGTTTTTATTATTTCGGTTCAGTTCGGTTCGGTTCGATTTGTGTTAGTTCAGTTTTTTGTTATGGGCCTGCTTAGTGGTCTTTTTAAAATTTTGTAATTTTTTTGTTTATTTTATTTATATTTATTTCTTTTTGCTTATTTTACTCTGTTTTTTAAATTATTGTATTATTCAAAATACTAAACTGCTATTTACTTTGAAATTTGCCCTTGTTAATAAATTATAATTACGTTTAGAGAAGAAGAGGATTTAAGGTTCTTTTGGAGGTTTTTTCATCTTGTGATTTGATCATTTATTACTTGTCCCACCCATATTTTCTTTGTGGGAAGTGGATCCACTGTTTGATGCATTTTCAAACCGGCGGGTGACTGTCAACTGTCTCACAAAATCATACAACACGGTGACGTGGGTTTCATTTTAACGAATAGAATTGCCTTTCACTAAGCAAAGGCAATTTGCACAAGTTAACAAAATCAAAGCGGCTGTTTGACCTACAAAGGAACCTTTGTTTTACTTAAAAATATATGTAAAGGGAAAATGACTGAGTTTTTTGGAGAATCGATTAAACTTATAGTTTAAGAGAAATCGAATTTCCAAAAGATCAGAGTCGCCACTTAATTTTTATTAAAAAATCAAGAAAAAATATAAGATTTTTTCAAAAAAGATTTAAACAGATAAAATCAATTGAAAATAAAAGGGTTCGAAGTTCAATGTACATTCCGAGAAGGTGTTAGGCCCTCGGAATGCCCGCTAACTCGCGGTTGACCGACGATTTGACCAAAAATAATTTTGACTAATTTTAAAATTTTAACTAAGTAAAAAGAACTCATAACGACTTTGACTAATTTTTGAAATTTTAACTAAGTAAAAGAACTCATTTATTTTAACTATATTCTTTTGGATTTTAACTAAGTAAATGAGCTCATTTATTTCAACTATTTTTTAAATTGTTAACCAAGTAAATGAACTCATTTATTTTAACTAATTTTTTTATTACTACTACTATTTCTATCATTTTATTCATCTTAAGGGGGAATGAACTAAAGAGAAATTTTCTAATGGGGAAAAGTTCATAAAATGTCAACAAGACTAAAAAAAAAGGTAATAAAATATATATACTTTAATTCGAAAATAAAACGAAATGACCATTCTTGGGAAATTTAATTAAATTAAATCATAAGATAATCGGAGTGTTAGTCAAATACAATAAATAGGAGAGGGAAAAGAAGAGCATGTCAAATTTGGGCCTATTGTAACTTCATTTTGAGGCTTTGAGAACCTGTATATACCAAGTGTATATCGATGTATACGGGTCACATTTCGGCCCATTTTCCTGTATATTGAACCGTATACCAAATGTATACAACCTATTTTGACCCCCGCAACCTGTATTTCCATTTTTAATCCCGTATATCAGTGTATACACCAGGTATATCGGTGTATACATGCATATCTCGGCCTGTTTTCAGCTTTTCGGAACCTGTACACCTATTTCCCTTGCTGTCCGACAGCTTCCTTTGACAAGGCAGGCTCGAAACAACTCAAGAATATGCAAGGGAGAGTCCAAAGTGGACTCGAATCGATATCACATGTAACAAAACGAGTAATAAGGATTAGTATACGAGAAAGGGACCTCCAATCAATTACCAAATGTGCACAAATAATTTTGAAGCCATAAATTCATACTTCCAGTATGCCCAAAATATTTTCACCACATTAGCTAATAAATGGAAGGATTTATTCTACCCAAGAATCATTATCATACTAGAGGTGAATTGATCATGCATGGTTTGGACAAACTCCATTTGATCTGAATAGAAATCAGTAGCAAATTTCATGATGAAATCAACCTAAGCTAATATACTCAAAATGCAATAATGAATTCAATTAAAACATATCACATTAAGCCATAGAGATAACGATCTGAGGTAAAGCTTAAACCAACATTAAACTTACATACTAACAAAAACAAACAGAATAATACTTATCAAACTAAATGACACCATCGAAAGTAAATGAGAGCGTTTTCAAGCAAGATTAGATTTTTACAAATCAATAGAATATCTTTTTAACAAAACAAATTTAACTCTCAGTCGAGAACTCAAGATTAACATCTAAATCAAATATTTAAGAAAACGAATGCAATAAATTGGCAGTAAAGAAGCAATGCAACATATTAAATGCTAAACATAATTAAATAACCTGGGTAGAAATAAAAGTAGCTACTTAACAAAAGAATGAGGTAATTAACTTTCATGACTTAATCTAGTAAGAGATAATATTATCTAACTATAACAAACATAAATTAATGAGACTAAAGCTTAATCAATTGCAACAATCTGTTTAGACATGAAAGAAAAATAACACATAAATCCTAACTACGCAGCTAAATCACATCAGATTACAAAATGCATACAGAAACCACGAACAAGAGGATTCTTAAACGCAAATTACTGGAACAAAACGAAAGAGAAAGAGAAATATTACCTTCTCTAGAGCAGGAACTGAGACAACGACTTGAGAACAACACTTCCACCTCCAACTTTATCTTCGCCGAACTCCGACGAATTCTGACAAACTAAGGATTGTAGACAGCCCAAGAAGAGAATGGAACTAAGAGCCCCTGAACTTGGGGTGCTCTCTTGTTGGCTATTAGAATAGTGTATTTGAGAATGAAAATTTAACAAATCTCTTATATGACCTATGTTTTTTTTTTTTTGGTCGAGAATCCTGCCGCCTCCCCAAAAATCCCCTTTAAACAGTAAAGACGATGGGTCTTTATAGAGGGGAATTAGGGCAGAAAAAATAGGGGGGAAATCGGGTGGCCCCATTCGAAATTTCAAATTCAAATTGGTCTTGAAGGGATAAGGTTGGAGAGTTGGACAGTACAAATTCCCAACGGAATTGAAAGGAGAACCATCCGATTTGGAACAAGGACGCTTGAGGTGCGGAGATTTCGACACCTCGATGATTCCGTACGAGAGAATG